CTTATTTCTCGTATTCAGGACAAATTCTTTACAATATCTTCGGGTTATGAGTCTGTAATCGCGACTGTTAATGTTCTCTAAATTTAATTGTAAATTGTATCTTTATTGTGTGTTTAACATTATTTCAGTCCAGTCAACAATGTCAGATTAAATTCAATTCAAAAATGTCTTTGTATGTAATTCATAATGCAATTATTGTTTTTTTTTTCTAACATGCAGATTTCCCTCTTTTCTGTGTGACATGGCATAAGCAAGGCAGAAAAATATCAGTTGAGTTGTAGTTTTCAGGGAAGAAACTGGATGAAACTGCCAACAGTGACTGATTGAAGTATCACTGAATATTACATTTTCAATGATTCTCAGGCACCTCACATACTCCCTATGTTTCAAAAGTGGGAATAAATTCTATACGTGGCTATCATTTTAAAAAAATCCAAAACCAATATATAACTTGCATATTGGACAAGACATTAGCAAATAAGGTGAGAAATGTACATTTTTTTATTTGCACTGTTGAAATGATAAGACTTACCAACATGGACTGCATAAAACTGGAAAACTGCAACAACTTGCAAAGGACACATGGCAAAAGCAAATCAAACGAAGAAAAAAATTATTTACGCTGTTGGAAAAAAGAGATTTGCAAACATAGATTGAAAAAAAACCCCGAAATCTGCAGCAACTTAGTCATGTTTGTGCAATTGGTTTTGTTTTTTCCCTTGTAATAAAGAAATGTTTTTATGCATTCGCACAAATACTACTACATGTATCAGAATACATCTGTATGGCGTTTACTTAAAAATAATTTAAAGCGTATACAGTGGAAAAATGAAATTCTATATCCATGCAGGCTTTATTTTCATATCTCAAATTTCAGGATTTCATTATCATCATTACTGTGTTATTTATTTTTATTTATGTATCACTTTTAAGAGCTCCATCACTTTTCAAATTTCTGAGTTTTATTTCATTTTGCAAATATATATATATATATATATATATATATATATATATATATATATATATTAGATAACAAAATTATTATAATTTGTATTAACCATTATGTGTGTACATACTTATAAACTGACACATGTGAACGGAATTAATATTCCAGTGTGTGTTTGACTTATCCTGAAAAAAAAATAAAGATTTTAAAAATTTAAAACAAGTATTCAAAAAAAGTTACAATCCGTAGCACTGCCACACTCTATGATTATAATTTCATTTTATGTAATATGAAATGAAAAAAAAAGTATGTCTTAAAGTGATCCTGAAAGAAAAAAAATTAAGTTTAAGATATTTAAAACTAGAATTCACAAAACTGTTAGATCTATATGGTTGTGGTGCTGCCACCATCTCTGCCTATAATTTTATTCTAATGCATTATAAACGCTACATGTTAAAAGTATATTGAAAAAAAAAGAAAACATTTGCAAGAATAAGAAATTTTAAAACCTGTGCTACTGCCATAAAATATATATGTATGGGATGTTAGTGCTGGAGTGTCCATAAATTTATGTATTAATACTAAAGTCATTATGCTAAAAGATTAACCTTGTGACTTAATTGTCGGAGTAAACAAGTCACCTGAAAAGTATGACTTCATAAACATTCCTTCGTACCCAATGTCAACAAAATTCATCCAATAAAACTCCTTAATGCATATGTTTGTTAAGTCAAACCTTTTCAGAATACCCCATAATACGTAATAACCATTCAATTTTTTCAAAGGGAGATATACAGCACGAAATCTAACTTACAATACGTTTTTACTATACAAGGAAGCCCTATGACTCGGTTGACCGAGAAGTCTTAAGCGGTTAATCATATTACACACTGAAATAGGAAGTAGATAGCAAGTAGATGAATAACAATTTTATCCTCTTGGGCCAGATCCCGAGACACTTTCATTAAAATCACATGACATATTTATATTCAACATCCGCGTGACTCCTTCAAGTGAGTCAACCATTGACTGTTAAATCGGGGCACGACTCCCTCCACGGATCTATGCCCCCTCTGCCCAGCGGGTACCCCCTTTCCCTTCTTCCATAATACAGTATTGTAATGAGGGGAACGAAATGAAACCAAGCAATTTTCCAAACCTGTGACCTGCATATAGACATATAAAATGTCCTCGTCTACTATTTCATTTTTGCCGTGGGAAGCGAGGCAAACACTTTTTCTTTGTGCCTATACCCCCCACCCCCCATCCCCCCGACCTCCACTTAGCAAATTTCAGGATTCGCGCTTGGACGAATGTGAATGGAAAACCTTATGGTATCCTGTTATAAATAAACTCTCTACAGTTTGAGGGGTTTTTTTAATGCAGGAACTCTATAGGAGTCTGTTCGTAATTTCCATAGACATATATTGATCCCTGCTTAACTTGGGATGATGGCAGCTGCGATATGCTGGCCAAATGAAGAGTCACCATCCTATCCCTGACTCTCAGGGTGCTCGCTTGCGTATTCAGATGTAGATAATGATCATGAGTCACAGCCAGACCTGTCATACCTGCCAATGGCAAGAATAAAAAATACTTAAGTGGCGTTTTACTTCAATTTATCTGTAATACTATACAATTCTTTTTTAAATAGGTATGTTTTGAATTTAAGGACTGGTTCAATGTCATTGATTCACAGTGCAATAGTAATGTCACCACTGTAAATATAGTCTCATCTTTCCTATGTGTGGAAGGAAAAGAAATGTACTGTAAAACTTGGAACAAGGCCCGAAAAAGTGAGAAAGCAAAACACCGAGTTGCGTTATGAGTGTTTGATGCTGATATTATCCTATAAATAACATTTTCCTGGAAAGGGGCCATTTTATAACCCACTCCACATTTGATAACAAACCTGGACGCTTAATAATATCTGGACGTTTAATAATATCTTGATAAGGATAAAAGGTTATGGCTAGAGATAAAATGTATTGCGGCCATAATTTCGAGAGTCCTACTAGATTATAAATTCAGAAAAAAAGCCATGAGTGATTTTTAACTAAAAGAAGCCAAGTATGTAACAACATTGCACTGCCTAATTCAAAACAATATTTTCTTTCGAGCACCGCTTGGTATAAGGGATATATACACTACACGTAAAAGCAGCAACAACTAATTATAATTTTATGTTAATCCTTCGTCAGAACATCAGAATTCATTTATAAGTAGCTTTCATATTTCTAATATAAATAAGAATCAATATTCCACGAGGAATATATTATGTAGGGCTTTTCTGCATTTCAATAAATAAATAAATAATATGAAAATGCAGTTGGCTTTATACGTATAAGACATCATTATAATCAGAACAAAGAAGTTTTTTATTTGTTCACAAATTAATGGTAGTAGAGATGGCATGGTTTTCGTACGGGAAAATAGAGCGACCACCTCTTCCCCTCTCTAAAAGTTTTAATCACGCCTAGAATCTCGAGGGGCTTGTCAGACAATTAAACTAATTACACTGACGGCACTTGAACAAGAGTCCCTGCAGAGATGGATCGATCCTGCCGGTACGCTAACCCTAAGATCTAATAAACGGAAATATTAGATCTTAGGCTAACCTGAATCTAAATGCTCCCAAAGCAGGCCCGTAACCAGCAATTTCATGGGGGGGGGGGGGGGGGGGGGTTTTTTCAAAAAAGGGGACCTTTTTAC